CGTGTGCATGGCTGCCATCAATGAGTGATTCGAGCATGGGTGCCAAGCAACATGATAAAACCCGATGACGAGTACCTCGACTACACTATGACTCTCTACCATGGGTTTCTATAGATTATGGGCCCATAACGCTTGGTTGTGAAGAGGGCGCACAGATTCAAATTTGGTCCTTTAGAAGGTCAGAATTTGAATACTCTCGCCAATAGCCTGTGACGAAAAGGAGCGGAGAGTTTAGTTCAAATGGCGGGAGACAAAGGTGTTGTTAGAATTCGGCAAATATAGTCAGCCGAATTACTTTTTGTTAGGGTTCGGCCCGAGTTAGGGTTTGAACTAGTGAGCGCTGGCGTGCGTATATTCGACGGTTGAACGGTCAAATCGTCCACCACCATAAGTCTTACGGGTCTCTCTTGTTCCACTAGGCTCGCTAGCCTACTAAGGTTACTAGCCCAAGTCACACACTACTAGGCTCACTAGCCTAGCTCACAGTCACACTCAAATCAAGCTCTTGATATCCTCATCACGGCTTACACTGCAGTACGGCCGCTCTCAACCGCCTAACCTCCAAACCGCCCGTGGAAACAACTAACGTGAAACATCATTGTATGGGACGTTTGGGGAGAGAAAGAAGCCGCTTGTAAGGCGCTTCGTGTGCTCCTCTTAGGATGCATGGTTGCCATCAATGAGTGACGAGCATGGGTGCCGGGCAACACGATAAGATCCGGTGACGAGTAAATCAACCACACTACGACTGTCTACTATGATTTTCAACAGGCGTCGGATCCCGCAGCTTTGTGGTGAAAACTGGTCAACGTGGAATTTAAGGCCAAGTTCCGTAAGTTTCTTGCATACAATGGATGCCTGTGTGCATTGGAGGAGCCGGAGTCCGTGGAAGGGAGGAAAGTGTCAACAAAGCAAGGGGGCTAATGCTGATCCACACGGAAGATGCATATGAGAAATTGATTGAGGGTCAACCCACTATAGCAAAAGCGTGGAAGAAGTCGGAAGACAACTTTGAAAAGAAGAGCAATGCGCGCATGATTCTGCTTAGGAGGGAGTTGATCGGTCTAAGGTTGATCAAGGAGAAAGCCATTGCAAAGTATCTAGGGGAATTCCGGGAGCTCAAGCCAGATGTGCAGGCGGCGGGACAAACCGTCTCAGAGGGTGAGCTGGCCGTGCACGTCTTGGAAGAACCATTGTGAAGTTCTCGGAGCTCGGCGAGGAAGAGCTGACCCTAGTCGAGATTGAGCCAAAGCTAATGCAGAATGAGCAGACGCTAAAGTTGGGGGCTGAAGCGAGGTCCTTGGAGGGGATTTCAGGTGGAGATGGAGGATTGGCGTATGCCGCCAAACATAGGGGCTACTCGAGCCCAGAGAAGGGCCGGGGAAGCTTAAACGAGCTAGAAAGAAGCTGGGAGGTGAGAGGCGGGAGCTCAAACCTGCCAACGTGCTATTGTTTGGGCAATGTGGGCCACATGAAGGCAAGATGCAGGTTTGCAAAACGCGGAGTGCCCCAAGTGCAGCGACAGGGGCCACACAAACGTGGTGTGTAGGCATCTACAGCGCGGCGCAAGTGGCCGCGCAAAGGATAGAGGGTTTGTGGAGGATGTAAACGGAGCAGCCTTTGTGGTGTGGGGCGACGACGTGGATGTGCGCAAAGGGGTGTGGATTGTTGACTCGGGCAGCACCCAGCATGTCACGGACAATCCGAGCCAATTCACGAGCTCTAATCAGCTCGTGCGTGATGAGAAGATCGTGGGGATTTGTGGCAAGTCTTCGGTTGCAATAGGAATCGGAGATTGGAGTTGAAGTGTAAATCTGGAGCGGTGCGAGTGCGGTAACCTTGAGGAACTTGCGGCACACTCCGAGGGCACATGCGACTCATTTTGTTCGCTCTGACAAGGGCGATCGACATGGGAGCACGAGTGGTGCTCGAAGAAAGAACTGCGAAGATCGAAGCAGACGGTGTGGTCCATATGGAGGCATTCAAATGTGGGGGACTGTGGGAGATGGGGAAGCAGAAGGCATTCCTTGCAAGGGGTTCGGTAAAGGGGTACCGGGTGTGCTCCAGGGTGTGCTCCATTGCAAAGAGGCCAGTAAGAGCGGAAAGCGTGGTGAAAAAGACGGCGAAGGTCGTGGAGATCGATCTAGACGAGTCGGACGACGAGAATGAGGGCGTCGAACGAGAGAGGGGGACTTTTGTGGGGGCGGAAACTAAAATGAAGCGCGAGGGAGACGCGCCTGCGCTTAGACAAACGACGGCCGCGCCGCGGGCGTAGATTCAATAAGGGCCAATATGGGCCGATTGTGGACGGATGATACGCAAAGTCGTGGAGGTGTTGCAGGAGATGGAAAGGGCAAGGAGGCCCCGAAAACGGCGGTAGAAGCAAGCCCGCCGATGTGGAAAAGGCAATGAACAGGCCTGTGGTGCACTATCCGGACTTTGGAGATATCTCGAGAGTGCGACGGCAGCCCGTCGAGTGGTATCGGCCAAATGTGGAAGCAGCAACGGAAGCCGTGGGAACACAAGAGCCGGAGCACGGAGTGGAGAAGACGTCGCCAGAGGAGTGCTCAACGATGGCGACAGTGAAGGCTTTTGGGTGACGCCAAAGGAAAGACAACAGCCCAGCGCGCAAGAGAAAGCGTGACGGGTTAGAGGCTTCGAGTGATTCGTCTGAACTTGGGAGGGTTAGAATTTGGTGATAATGGTCAGCCGAGTTACTGTGTGATTAGTGTTCGACCCGATAGGGTTTGGACTAGCGAGCGCCGGCGTGTGTGCACGGCGGTTAGGTGGTTCAACCATTAAGCGGCCGGTTTGGAGTATAGGCGGTTGAGAGAGCCGACGTAAATGTGTCACACTCGAGCGATATAGACGTCATGGGCTTCGACTGCTGTGAAGCCATCGGATGCTCTAAAAGCCGTATTGTCCTTTGGTTCTTGCAATAAATCCAAACCGTCCAACTCAAGATCTCCCCCAAGCTTGCAATACCACAGCGCCTCCTTCACTGCTTGCGTTGCGCTCAGGTACTCAGCTTCCACTTCCGAGCCGCCACTGCTGGCTGCAATTTGCTCGACTATCGTACACCTTGAAGACGTACCCCGTTGTGGACCGCCTCGTGTGCACGTCACCCGCGTAATTGGTGTTATAGGAATTGACGAGAGTCTCCTCGCTCCTTCCGTCCTCTACCGTCCTCGCCAAGTAGGGCACCACATCAAGCGCCGCCTGCCAGTGCGCCTTCGTCGGCCTTGCCATGTAGCGCGCAAGCGCGTGACCGACTGTGCAATGTTGGGCCAAGGGCACACAGTTAGGTACAGCAAGATTCCCACACACTCGCTGTATGGAAACCGCTTTGTGTCGAGGGCTCACCCTCTCCCTTCAATTTGATCCCCGTTCCAAGAAGGATGCTACGCGCCCGCACGTCCGCCAGTCCGTAACGTCCGACAAGCTTCTCTTGCGTCAACTTCAGAATGCGCCTCACTGTTGCGTGTCAGCTCCATCCGGAAGAAGCGTTTCGTATTCTCCGGATTGCGCACGTTGAACTTTCTGGCCAAGTGCGCCTTCACCTTCGCCAATGCGCTCTCTCCTCCGGCTGCCACGAGGATGTCGTCTACTACCCACACCAGAAAGTAGACCCGCTTCTCGGTTATGACTCCTGTGAAGAGCGCTCGTCCGGACGCCACGAACTTGAAGTTTCCGAGCTCATTCTAAAGGCGCCCACGCACGCGGCGCCTGGCGGCGCCTGGCCCAACCTATACAAGGTGCGCTTGAGGCGGCAGACCACCTCAGGCTTGCCTTGCTTGTATCTGTGCGGCTGTTGCATGTGGACCTTCCCCTTCAACTCTCCATTAAGGAAAGCCGTCTTGACGTCCAGCTAGTGTAGCTCCTAATTGCGCCTTGCTACTGGCGCGAGCAGCGCACGCAACGTCGTGTGCTTGCTCACTGGGACGTAGACCTCGTCGAAGTCATTCCTCTGCTTTTGCAGGGAGCTTTTCGCCATTAGCCGGGACTTGTATTGCTGCATGTTTGCTCGAGCACCCCACTTGTTCTTGTGAATGCGCTTCAAGGAAACCGCACCGGATAGCTATAATGCGGAAGTTGCGGACCGGCAAACTCATTGGTATTACCGTGTAGATCCACCGGCAAACTCATTGGTATCTGTTGAAACACAGCGTTGTTGGAAGTGATATTCAATC